TGAATTGCCCCATTTCATGACCGCGTTTCAATATTCCAATCTTGGAAATGTTGTGAACTGGTACCCACCCCCTATTACTCCCAGGGGTTATATGCAGTTTCAGAGGGTATTTTGGGCATTCAAGGGGTAAGTCGCTCAACCGTTGGGCGACTTATAAGTCGCCAAACCGAATGGCGACTTATAAGTTGCCCAACGGTTGGGCGACTTTCCCTGACCATGGTTAATTCCGGCAGTAGATCAGTAAATACTTTTAACCCCGCATTATTTTCGTAATTAATTAATTAACATTAATTCGGAAAAAACTCAAGAAATTTATGGGGAAAAAATCTATTTACAATACTCCCCCCGTATTTTTATGTTCACTACATGAGGTTTGGCACATTGTTTAAGGAGTAAAGTAATAGGGGTAATGAATAGTGTATAAAGAGTAGGAGAGAGTGTGTACAAGTATGAAAGAGAAGATAAAAAGTAGAAAAAGTAATGGTAATTGAGTATTTTGTTAAAGGTAAACTAACCAAAAATGAAAGTGTAGCAAACTTTTAAACACATCTCAAAAAGGAAAGTGTAGCAAACATAAAAATACAGAGTACTGTATTCTCTATTCTATTAATAAAATACGGAAAAAAAGTTATAGTATGAAGAATAGTTAAAATGATAATCTAGAGTAAGTACAATCAATACAGTCGGAAAAATAACTTCAACCTTTTTTTATTGCACGATTCAGCGTGTGAAATCAAAAGTTACGTGTTTGGTTAAACAACAACAACAACATCCAAGCCTTAGTCCCAAAAGATATTGGGGTCGGTTAACATGAATCGATACATGATATCACCATCAAAAGGAAAAGAAAGAAAATAAAGATAAAAAGATAAGCTATTGTGAAAAAGATAATATAAAAAGAGATTAATATACCTAAAAAAGATAAAATAAACAAGATAAAAATAATGTTTATATATATAAGGATAAAAGGAAAAAATTGAGGAGAAAAGACGATACGAGATCACTCCTCCACATGAATACCCGCTCTCCACTTTGCTCTCTCCAAAGTCATACACTCATCTAACCCGAGTAGAAGCATATCACTTCGGACTCCCCTAACCCACGTCTATTTGGGCCTTCCTCTCCCTCTCTTCCTTGCCTCTTCTCCACACATCTCAACTCGTCTGACAGGTGCATCAATCGGTCTTCTACGCACATGACCAAACCATCGTAGGCGCGACTCCCGCATCTTGTCGTCAATAGGCGCTACTCCCACCCTTTGTCTGATTGTCTCATTCCTCACGTGATCCTTCCTAGTATGCCCACACATCCAACGTAGCATGCGCATCTCCGTCACACTCATCTTTTGAATGTGACATTGTTTCACCGCCCAATACTCTACGTCATACAGTAATGTAGGTCTAATTGTTGTCTTATAAAACTTACCTTTCAGTCTAATGGGCATACCTCTATCGCATAGAAATCCGGATGCACTCTTCCACTTCATCCACCATGTTCTGATTCTATGGGATACATCTCCATCTAACTCACCGTCCTTCTGAATTATGGAGCTCAAGTAACGGAACATATCGCTGACCGGTATCTCCTTACCGTCTAGAGTAATTCCGCTACTACCACTGCTCCTACCTCCACCAAACTTGCACTCTATGTACTCTGTCTTGCTCCGACTTAATCTGAAACCCTTGTTCTCCAAATTTTCTCGCCATACTTCCAACTTTGTTTTAAGACCTGATTGTGTCTCATCAATCAAAACAATATCATCGGCAAACATCATGCACCACAGTATTTCGTCTTGAATTGACTTCGTAAGTTCATCCACGATTATGGCAAATAAGAAAGGGATCAGAGCCGATCTTTGGTGCACTCCGATAGTAATAGGGAACTCCGCAGTCCTCCCTACAATAGTATAATAGTATGGACACTTGTAGTACAGTCCGCATAAATATCCATGATGATGTTGATATACTTGCGTGATATGCCTTTTCTAGTTAAGGCCCACCACAGAACTTGTCAAGGTACCCTATCATAAGCCTTTTCTAAGTCAATGAACACCAAATGCAGATCCTTGTGAGCGTCTCTATACTTCTCCATAAGTTGCCGAAGAAGGTGAATGGCCTGAGTTGTTGAGCGACCAGGCATAAAACCGAATTGATTCTCTGAAATCTTCACAGTTCTTCGAAGTCTTTGCTCAATCACTCGCTCCCAAAGTTTCATGGTGTGACTCATAAGCTTAATTCCTCAATAGTTGGCACAATCTTGTACATCACCTTTATTCTTGAATAAGGGGGTAAGAGTATTCTTCCTCCAACCCGTTGACATCTTGTTGTTTCTCCAAATCATGTTGAAGAAACTTGTTAACCACTCGACGCCTCTCTCTCCCAAACTTCTCCAAGCCTCGATCGGTATGCCATCTGGACCCACTGCTTTCTTCCACCACATCTTCCTCAGAGCCTCTTTAACTTCTGTTGTTTGGATCCTTCTCACAAATCACGATTTACCATACAATCCGGTATGGTCAAATCACCGATATCTTGCGCTTTGTTCCCGTTGAATAGTGTATCGAAGTATGACCTCCACCTCTCTTTTATCTCCCCGTCCTCCATTAGTACCCGTTGATCGACATCCTTCACACACTTAACTTTTCCGGTATCTTGAGTCCTACGGTCAAGAAGACGCGCAAGTCTATAAATATCTTTTTCTCCTTCCTTAGAGTCCAATTTTGCATACAATTCTTTGTTCACTTTTCCTCTTGCTTCCTTTACAGCTTTCTTTGCTCTTCTTCTAGCCTTCTTGTACTCCTCTATATTCTCGTCGCTTCGACTTTTGCCCAATTTCTTATAGCATTCCCTTTTGATCCTTATTGCTTGTTTTACCTCATCATTCCACCAAGACATGTCCTTTTTTGGTGGCAGACATCCTTTAGATTCTCCAAGTATCTCTTTTGTCACTTTGTTATAGGTGGACTCCATTGATAACCACACATCATCCACATGTGCGTCATTATTAATGGACCATGCATCTTCCTCCAACATTTTCTATGCAAAAGTTTGGTTAAAGAATCAACTAATAAGACTGATAGGCTGAAAAACTCGTAAAAGATATCATATAGCTGGTTGTACCGTGCGCACTGTACAACCGGAATATTTTAGGCTTCTACGCTTCTTGGCTTCGGACCAGACTTCTCCGGTCTAGCTTTGCACTGGACTTCGCACCTGCTTCTTCGATTTTGCTTGATCTGATTTCGCACCAGGCAGACTGCTCCTCACTGTCGCTATCTTCTCCTCGAGCACGAACGCCCTCTTGTTGTGCAAGGGTGGCGGCTCTTGGGGATCTTCTTTGTTGATCGGTGCTGCGAGAAGAAGTACAAAGACGACAGATTGAGCGATGATTTAGGAGACTAAGTTTGAGTTCGATATATTGCTAAGTGGAGTCATACTTCTTTGTTGACGAATCTGGAATGAGTTTATATTAAACTCAAGTGAGTATATGCTTAAAAGGAATGAACATTGAGCGAGTTTTATGTTTAACTCAAATGAGTATAAAACCCAAAATGAATGGGCATACACAAATAAGCTTTTAAATTTTTTTATACTCATTTTGCAAGTTATGTATGCTCATTTTAAAATGTTGCACATTTCAAACGTATCATCCTACATTAGATTCACATATTGAAATTAATTAGAATTGATTATAGACCTAATTTAAGAACTTTTTATAAACGAAAAAATAATAAAAATGAAGTGAATTAGAAAATATGAAGCATATTACATTGGTGCTCATTCTTAAGTTACTAATAATACTAAAAAACATGTTTGATGTTCTGTGTTAATGCTTATTCAAGAGAAGTCGTGTTTTTCATCAAAATTACAAAAGTGCCGCCGACTGTAGGATTAACATTGTACAATTAGGTAAACCTTAGGAGACTTCAATATTTCATACAAAATATATCAAATCTTGGGGGGTTTCCAAGGAAATTTAACAAGGTGATTATACCATTCGATTTTATGAGATCTTTCGCTTAAGCCTCTCTGGAGGTCCAAATTTTATTATAATTGGAAGGCTTATAAAGAAATATAATTAGTTACTTGTGAACAAAATTAAAAATATAGAGAAACCCTCTTAAATAGTTATAAAATGTGAATTTCAAAGTAAAGTTGTGATATTTGACTATTTGTATTCTCTAAATAAGTGTAATTAGAATTAGGTTTTTGAGATTACCACTTTAAAAGGTTATCAAACTTTAACATAATGACCCTTTACAAAATTAACCAAACTTTAACATGACAATATTTTACAAAATTGACATAAATTATTAATTACTCTTGTTTAGGAGTGCTCATCTTTTATGATTCCAAAACATTTTTATTTATCTTTCCGGAGTTTTCCCTACCGTTGCTTTTATGTATAAACATGATGGTGGGATACGTACGGTTGCTGGAAAAAACTACAAAAGAAGACCAACAGTATTCGATTGAATCCTTTGGCTTCAAAAAATGGATAGAGATCTTGGAAGCTAACATGAATGATAAGATACACTCTCTCCGACAAAATAATAACCCACGTCAATATGTTTTATTTAGTGATACTCCATATAAGCCAAGATTAGCATCAATATGCAATGCGGCGTATGTATTAAAAATGCATGGTCTACACAAAATGTATACACCTTTTTTGATAATTCATTTTGAATTGTGTTTGAGTTGTCTGCGAAGGACAGACAAATGTACAAAAAAAGTGTACACATTTTGTATACACCTAGAAAAATTCCAAGAAGAAAATGGATTAGAAACCTGCTACTTGTGCAAATTATTTGTACACTTTTTGGGTACACATGGTAGTTATCTGTGTGCACAGGCAGCTATTGAACGAGTTGCTTGTGTACACAAAAAGTGAACAAATGAAGTACAAACAACTTTTTCCAAGGAGTGTGTACACAAAAAGTGAACAAATGAAGTGTACAAACAGCTTTTTCCAAAGGATTAACGAGACCCACCATAATAAGATCACAATGCCATTTGTTGTTTCTTGAATTTCCGAAAAATATACATTATGGATAAATATAACATACTTCCTCCCTTTAATATACATTATGGATCACACACGATCAATAATTTCTTCTAATATATTAATCAAGTTATTATATACTATGTATAAATATGTATAAATTATTATTAAATTTCTCTTGTGTATTCCATACTTGTCCCAAAAATTTTAAGTACATCACAAGATATGCGTATTTGCATTAAAAAAATACCTCTCTGAAGTGTTATGACCATTAACACTTCCAGATGACCACACCCTAACAATGTTCTTAAGTCATTTATTTGAACATATTTCAATCACAAATCACAAATCGGATTAGACTTCCATATAAAATAGACAAAGATTAGACATTTACCAAATGAGATCAAACACCAAATCATAAAATTTCAATAAAATTATCCTAAGCAAACGAACATGTAGCGAAAATTGTACGGTAATGAAAAAATATATGGTACGGAGTATAACTTATAAAGTCGCATATGGTTCTTTAAAAAAATTGGTAGATGAATTTGTTAATATGCAAACATTATTTTGTTCAAGAGCTGTTATTCCGTTGGCCATGGCACCATTCCAAACTTGTTCTTTTCATTACCATTTAAAAAAGAATTGCTCTTCAGTAGTTAGCGAATTAGCAAAAAAAAGTCTGAAGGACGAAAGTTAAACAATGGCAAGAGGATGAGAATATGATTTAATTGAACAGCTATCATAGGCTATACTATCCAAGTGATTTGCAGGTTGACCGTTGACCCTAACAATTTGGATGTAACATCATCTACAATTGGATAACAATTCACAAACAGATCATTTAAATTCTAACACATTGGGTTCTATAACTTGAGAAGTTGCGTTAATTACTCCTACTAGTTACTGCATCGAAGATTTCACGCATCACTTCCCCAGTTCTCAAGTTCTCATCCCATTTTCTCATACGGAAGTATGGAATATAGATTAAATGACCCGAGGGTTTAGGAATACTAATTTCTTTCACTTGCTTTACTTGTTAGTTTTCAGCTTGGCGACGAATTTGGTGGCCGACCGATATCAGCGTTTTAAAAACTTTCAAGGGTTTGAAAGTGTATATAGTTAGAACGTTCTGCCCGGAATTCGTGCAAATATTTTGAAATAAGTAAGAAAGGAATGGGCTCAGTCGCTCAGATAAAATCAGCCTTCACAGAAAATCCCACCAAATAGAGAATAGCTCAACATAAAAACCTGGCAAGATATTTCAGAATATATCCGAAATCATACACAGATGCACACTAATAAGGAAGGACATGAATATAAGTTTCATATTTCCTTCCCACATATAATAATAATAATATTAAATGAGCCAAAAACCAGTTTGAAACCTCATCACACATCATCCGTATCCCTCACCAAAAGTACTCTAGCCGGAGCTTGCTACACCAACCAACCCCACAGAAACGACTCATTGGATGAAGACAAATCACTCGAAGGCATCATCATCATCATCAGGGAGTGGCTGTGCAGCAGCACTTAGAAGTTCTTCCTCTTGCCTGGAAAAGAAGAAATATAGAATCCAAAATAAAAAGGTGGATGCAATAAAAATAAAACCACAATGGAGAAGGTAAACTTATGATGGCCTACCTTTTTTGAGCCTCCATATCAATCTGGACTTCCGGAGGAGCAAGGGCAACAGCTTCAACAAATTGCAAGTTTGGTTCCCTGATAATTTAAACATGGCAATTTAGCATATTAGAAAAAACAGACCCATAATTCTTGATATACAATCAGCAACTTATTGAACAAATGATATCAAGCCGGACAGTGTTATTAATGGTAATGTGGCACGTTTTCTCATGGTAAGGATGTAAATTGAACTATAATCACAACAGATGACAATGTTATTAATGGTAATGTTATCCTCAAATTGTACATGTAGTATCAATTATTCTCATGGTATTTTGTAAAAAAAATACAAAAAATATTTTTAAAAAAAGTTTTTTAAACATTTAGCAAAAATATTTTACATAAGGTCATACACTCGTACCAGTTTACTTCACAACTTTTTCCCAAAAAAATGTTATTTTTAATACTTTTTTTGAGCATTCTAGAGAAACTTTATTACAACATAGATATAAAAACTCTCAATTATAGAAAAACTGCTATACAGATTCATAACTATTCGGGATAATTTCATTTTACTGAAACATGATTAGAAAACGTGCCACAAAATCTGCAACTGATGTAGAGTTAGAGAGCTATACCCAGCAAGTTTCCTAGCAAGGTAGAGGAAAGGCTTCTCAAAGTTATAATTACTCTTTGCAGAGATTTCATAGTACTGCAAATTCTTCTTCCTGTGGAAAGTGACCTGCTTTGCCTTCACTTGCCTGTTCTTGACATCAACCTTGTTTCCACAGAGGACGATTGGAATATTCTCACACACCCTTGTACAAGGAAAACAAAACATTAGAAACAGAAACAGACACTTTATACAATTATATAGTAAGGTTTGAAGATTACCGGCATAGATCACGGTGCCATGTAGGCACATTCTTGTATGTTAATCTGGCAGTAACATCGAACATTATAATAGCACATTGTCCATGGATGCTGCAAAAGACATCAAAATCATATGTTAATAAATTCTGAATTCATCAGATGACAAAACATTGCTATGAAATTAGAAATTTCCTTTCAATTAAAAGGTTCTAAGATGGTGGGCAATCACAAAGAGAAAGCATTGAAGGTGGATTTTCACTATGCTTTTTGAAAACATTACAACTCATCAGAAGTCAAACTTGCTCTACGTAATAGTTTAGGTCTATTCCAACAAGGGTTAATTTCTTGATTGTTCAATAAATTTAAATTTATGGAATTAGAATAAAAAACAACAATAGCATCCAAATCTTATTCCCAAAAGTTTTACCAAAAGATAAAATGGATATGATAAAGAAAACTAAATAATAAATTAACATGAGAACATAAAAAAGATAAAAGATAAAAACATAAAATTAAAAGCATGGGATAAAAACATTTCAAAAATTAGTATTATTTTCAATGCTAAAATGGGATAGTGCAAACTTAAGCACCATTTCAGCATTTCACTCAAAGTTCCGATTGGAACTAAATAAAATCAGTGTATTTGAATCGTACACCTACGCATATTTTCCAAATTAGCATTATTGTTTAAATTATAATAAATAAGATAGAACAAAACACTTAAGATAAAGCTGATAGGCAAATGAAATGTTCACTTACTAATAACCATCCCTGAGACCTCCAAACTTTTCCTGACCTGCAGTATCCCAGCAGTAAAACCGAATTTTCCCAAGGTTTGTAGAGAAGTCCAACGGATGAACCTCCACTCCAATAGTAGCTACAGGGACAAGAAATTGTATTACATGTGTTGTTCATAAAAGTAACAAAAAAAACTTAATAAAGTTTTGACAGCCAACATAATTAATCTTGATAACTTACGTTCATACTTCTTCTCAAATTCACCAGTAAGATGCCTCTTGACAAAAGTTGTTTTCCCTGTAAAATACAATAGAGTCACATATATGTGATCAACATGGAAAACCACGACTATAGGAATTCTGAATGCAATCAACTATGGTTGTACTCCGTATTTGATAAAAAAAACATGCTCCAGAGTCAATGTATCAACAGATCCATTTATAAGCAAATAATTTCAAAAGTGAAGCAAAAACTTTAAAGGATCTTGGGACATATCAGAGATCACTACCAATCACAATATGAATCTAAGGAGGAAGTGAAACAAAACGTAAATCGAACTCACCGGTGCCACCGTCGCCGACAATTACAAGCTTAAAGCTCGGGTAATCAACTGTCTGCTGATTCGGAAGTGCCTAACAAAATTACAGAAAAATGAAATTTATAGCCAAACAAAGCTATAAAACCAACGAATTGACATGCAAAAGGATCGAAGAATAGTATCAACCATGGCGTCGCGGCTTGGTAGAAGAGACGGTTGTGATCAGGAGGAAACAGCGATTGCGGAGTGATAATTCTAGAGAGATTTCGGAGATTTAGGAGACTTTATATATGGAGTGGAGAGGGCATTCCGGAAAACCTAAGAACAACGCTGTAAGTAGCTTAGGCCTGACGCGATATTCTGGGCCGTCGGATCAAAGGTAAAGGGCTTCGAGTACAGATCTACCCAACACGTAATATCACGTGATCTTCACGAATATTCAAAATTTGAATTCTAAGCCGTTGGTGCGACTACAAAGGCCTGGCGGAACCATAGGGTGTGGATGGCAGCTGAGTGAATTCAAAGCCTTTTATTTTGTTTTTTTAATACAAAAAAACAAAATTATAAGATTATATATCACCTCAGTTTTGAAGTTTTGATAGGACATTGTCAAGTTTGTGTTTAAAATTAATTACAAAATTCATAAAACATTACACTTAAAAGTGCACTAATTTACAAGGATTAAAAACATATATACTTAGATCTTTCTTTAAAAGTCTTTGCAAGTGTACTTACCATTAATGTAAAATGGTATATATGTCATATACTGTAAATACGTAGTATACTCTTGCATTTCTCGCAAATATATATATAAAAGATTAGGTGAGAAGTGTCCCTTAAAATGAGATAAAATGAGAAGTGAGAAGTAATTTCAGTCCTTATATTTGCATCTGATCTTACAACGCAGTAAACTTATAGACTAAATATAGGAACTAATAACCAATAAATCATAACTAGCTCTCCATAATAATTACGAATATGCCACCGTGTCAAAAAACTCCATGTTTCCGTAATTATTTTTTGCGGTGGCATTTTCGTAATTATTTTTAAGGGGTCTATAAGTTACTCCGTATGATTTATTGGTTAAAAGTTCTTATATTTAGTCTATAAGTTTACCTTCGCAGTTCTCAGCTAAGATCACTTCTCACTTGATCCGCTTCCTATATATCTATATAGGGATAAGATCAAATACAAAGTGTTCTTCCGATACAAAATACAAATCCATCTCATCCATCCAATATTACACAATCAAAGGCACCGATTGTTTGGGCTAATAATTATTAATCGTTAGTTGGTTAGTACAACATCAAAGGAAAGTTTTTCTAATTTTTAGCAATTGGTATGCGGCTAGTGGGGAGAAGTTTTCTCATCTTCCATTAAATACACGTAGATCTGATTCATTTCAATGGCTAGGATAAATTTGCATTTTGTAAATTAAGATGAGTTTGTATGTGATCCCAAATCTCTCTCTCTATGCATATATATATATATATATATATATATATATATATATATATATAAATGCCATTTTTTATAAATAAATGCATCGGATAGTTTGGGAATTGGACTGGAACCACTCGGATAGATTCAGACAGGCATCCCTCCCCCCGGTTGTGGTATCAATCCCCCACATATAAAATCTATCACACCTAAAAACAGCTTTAGTGGGAATGTAGATTGTATCCCATAAAAAAATGGGCATATTATTTATGCTCTCATGGTGATACCTAAAAAATGGCCACTTGTGTAGATACCAAGGTGAGGCGCACCGTGCACCGTGCACGTATACACATTTAGAATATTATTTATGCTCTCATGGAACCGTGAGTTTAAGAAATTGTTTTACTATTTATGCTATTATTTAGTACGAATTACAAGAAATGCATGATTTTATTTTCAATTGAGAAGTGAAAACAGTCGTAAAGTGTTGTTGTGTTGGACAAATGGGTGTAGATGAATTGTTTTAACTATTCATCTGATAAGCATGTTGCGTGATTCTTTTAAAATTAATAAACTCTGCTGGAAGGTAAAACTTTGTTGAGTCAGAGTGTTAGAAAGGCATGGTAAAATTAGAATGAGGAATAGGGGTTGTGCGTATTTTTCCATTCCAGCTCAGGCATATATATACACATCCCCGTTGAAGTAAAATTTACCAGACAGTCTCTTTACATGATGTGGCAATTCATTTTTTTGCAATCAACCCCCCCTCCCCCCCACACACACACTATAGATGCTCTAACTAAAACGGCATGCAATAATGAGTGTAACAATTGCCCTTACGGTAATCTTGCCTATTAACTATGATAACATGACAAGTTTGACAACATATATCATAATAAAGTTAGTTTGGAGGCCATCTGGTTACTTTTGACTTCTTTGATAAAGAATAAACCTGGATGCTTAGACTTGACTTGTTCTTACATAACTCAGCATTATTAGATGAGTTGCATTAATTTTATTTGAAAATTTTTAGTATTTTATCATGTTATGTAATAATGCCTTTGAACTCGTACGGTGACTTTTGTTTAAATTTCTATTTTTCATAAAATTGAGAAATTCATGAATTATATAAATCAACGCAATTCATTCATAAAAAAAATTATCGGTTGCTTTGAAAGTCCACAAATTAAAAAATCCATCATTGTTCATATATAATAAACAATTTTAAATGTCCAACGACTTATTTGGTAATTCACACGTTCAAACTCTGCGTTCAAAGATTGAATGCAGAGTTTAGAGAAATCCAAAAATAAAATACACTATTTGACTAGATGTGATTTTTTCCTAAAATTAAACATGCACTATCATTGCGGTGTTTTATTGAAAAAATGTAAAATACTTTACCAACTTACGCGCATTTTTTTAATACTACGATGTCATATTTAAAATGATGCAGCTTATATTTAATATTCAAGCCAATAATGCAGCTTCCAAACATTCTCTTAGACCACTCCCAAGTCGCACTCATGCCATCTTTCTATAAATAAAAGTTCCAACCAAATCTATATATATTAATCGAGTTAAGTCTGGTTCCGCTATTGCGTGAGGGTAATTTTGTAAAGGCCGCTAAGCTTTTCCTATTCTTCTGATAGACTCTACGTTTTTCCTACGATTTGGAGTTCTCAATCTACATTTCTGCAAGTGACATTAGCTTAGCTTTGTGAATTTGATAACACCAGAGTGATATTGATTCAGTCTATTTTGTGGAGAAGACTCTTTTTTTTCCTTCACTTAAATTGGTTTTAAAGATATTGTTAACCATAGTGATATTGATTCTATTTTTTTTTACCCAGAAGGTAAACCACCTATTCTTTCTATTTTATTAGGATGATGACTCTTTTTTCCTTCCCTTAAATTGTTCTTAAAGAAATTGCTAACCATTTAAACTTTTATAGCTATTTTTTCTTTGGCTATGATGTAGTGTACTTTGGTGTTTCTTTGGCTATGATGTAGTGTACTTTGGTGCCCTTTTATCCAACCGTTAAACTTTACGATAATTTTTTTCTTTCATTGTTCCTAGAATCGGTTGATGATATGTTCCTCACTCCCAAAGCCTAATAAGAGAATTGTTATTAGGTTTGATTCTTTTTTTATCATAACCTTTTGTTTAGTTTACTCACTCTTATTAATCCTGTATATTTTGTGAATTTTACCCGTTGCTAATAAATGTGCACTCTGTTATGTTTTTCTAGCTTTTAAGAAAACAAACTTTATTCAAGTACAAGTTTAGTTACAAAAGGCTTTTATCCCTTTTAAGTAGAATCAGAGTTCTAATATTATATTATTATTTAGTAATAATGTCAACTTATTTTACATTGGTCATTGGTCTCATACGTTAGATCTCACACTTCAATTGGAGGTTGGTCCAAAACTATCACATATTCTCATTTTTAGTTAACAGAACAAGTTTTTCATTTTGATCCATTCGAAGTTATATTAAAAGATTTTGATATGTAATTCAAGAAAAAGTATGAGTGATTTTGGTTAGAGACGTAAGGGAGAGGGTATTCTTAAGTAACAAAAAGATGGTACTTTTTCCCTTTGATTCGTTTTTTCTTTGAACAGTAAGATTAATAATTGGTGAGTAAACTACTATATGCTTAGTTCAGGAAATAAAGTTTTCGCTTACTATAACTTAATTTATTTTCCAAACCTTTTTGCTTATACTTTATATAATCTTAATGGAAGAATTGGGTCATTTTTTGCAGCGGCTCTTTATCTTTCCTTCTTTGTTTTACCAGTCTTGCTGTTTTACTAACTGCAGCAAATAGAGAAAGCTATTTGAAGAATCTGAACTACCTTACTCCCATTTTAAAGTACTCTACTGATCAGCCAAACACTGAACCTACTTTTAAAGCACTCTACTTAAATCATACTTCTAGACGATGTGGTTCTTAACCTTAACATCTACAATTCAGAAAATACACTCTCATTCTTGGATGTTTCTTGGGAAATACTGAATTCTGCCAAAGAGGAAATAGTGCATTTTTCTATTTAATAATAATAGTTAATGAGAAATTAGCACTTCTACATTTGTACATTAATAAATCATTATTGCGGGCTAAAGTCATAGCTCAAGAAGAAATTTTTTTAATGGAAAAAACTGCAATTTTTCCTCTCTTTCACTTACTATGTTATGAACTCATAGCAGAAAAAGGACAAATGATCAAAGGGAAACTTTCAAGGAGAAATCTGCAATTTATCTTTTTTGGTTCCATATTCAGTACTTGTCACACCCGAAGTCTTAGCATATAAGAGAACTGTTAGAGGAAACATATGCAAATTTTCTTCACTTCCTATCTATATACTTGAAATTGAACTAAGTCTCTTCCCTCTCATATTACATCCACAAACTCCACAAACTCCAAATACCATATTACTGTAACTGGTAGAAGATTAGAAATCTTATTAAGTTAGAGTAAATTAATCCATTTAATATTATTATCAAGTTATATTGACAATAAATCATGTTATTTATTAGAGAACAGGAAATACAAATCCAACACAGTGTTACCTAAGAACAAGGTCTTATGAAAGAGCTTCTATCCTAGGACATTTTGTGCAATACACAAGTGTGTGTGTGTGTGTGTTGTTTTAAGTGAATATCATTGCACTCAATTGCAGTTTTGCATTTGTGAGCTTCAAAAAACATTGATTTGATAGTGCCTATATATGCTATTTCAGCTAAAGGCATTTGATTTTAGTATAAATTGCATCTTCCTTCTCCATTGGAATTTGTGGAGTTTTCTTTCTCCTTGAGTTTCTTTTAATTCGTTCTTGGATACTTCCTTAGCATGGCAAAGATCAACTTTATAATGGTGATTACACGAATATGAATGAC